TTTTTTTTTTTTTTTGAGACAGAGTTTCACCCTTGTTACCCAGGCTGGAGTGCAATGGTGCGATCTTGGCTCACTGCAACCTCCGCCTCCTGGGTTCAGGCAATTCTCCTGCCTCAACCTCCTCAGTAGCTGGGATTACAGGCACGCGCCAATTTTTAATTTTTTAAACTTATTTATTTATTTAGAGACCAGAGTATCGTCCTTGTTGCCCAGGCTGGAGTGCACTGGCATGATTCTGGCTCACCACAATCTCTGCCTCCCGGGTTCAACTGATTCTCCTGCCTCAGCCTCCTGAGTAGCTGGGATTACAGGCATGTGCCACCATGGCCGGCTAATTTTCTATTTTTAGTAGAGACAGGGTTTCTCCATGTTGGTCAGGCTGGTCTTGAACTTCCGACCTCAGATGATCTGACTGCCTCAGCCTCCCAAAGTGCTGGGATTACAGGCATGAGTCACTGCTCCTGGCTAATTTTTTTTTTTTTTTTGAGATGAAGTTTTACTCTGTAGACCAGGCTGGAATGCAGTGTCATGATCTCCACTCACCACAACCTCCGCCTCAGGTTTAAGTGATTCTCCTGCTTCAGCCTCCCAAGTAGCTGGGATTACAGATGGCCGCCATCATGCCCTGTTAATTTTTGTATTTTTAGTAGAGACAAGGTTTCACCACATTGGCCAGGCTGGTCATGATTTGCTTTTTTTTAGTGGAGACGAGATCTTGATGTAGTCTGATCTTGAAATCCTGGGCTGAAATCTTGAAGACCAGGCTGATCTTGAAATCCTGGATTCAAGAGATCCTCCTGCCTTGGCCTCCCAAAATGTTGTGGTTACAGATGTGAGCTGCCACACGTAGCTTAAATACCTTCTCATTAAATTTTTTCATGCAAGTTTATATTACCTTAATAATTAGCCACAAAGAGAAATGAGACAAAAAGAAATGTTAGGACGGGCACGGTGGCTCACACTTGTAATCTCAGCACTTTGGGAGGCTGAAGCGGTGGATTACCTGAGGTCAGGAGTTCGAGACCAGCCTGATCAACATGGTGAAACCCTGTCTCTACTAAAAATACAAAAATTAGCAGGACATGATAGTGGGCACCTGTAGTCCTAGCTACTTAGGAGTCTGAGACAGGAGAATTGCTTGAACCCGGGAGGCAGAGGCTGCAGTGGGCCAAGATGGCACCACTGCACTGCAGCCTGGGTGACAGAACGAGACTCCTTCTCAAAAGAAAGAAAGAAATGTAGTGTTCCTAGCTGCACCATTCACAGTAACCAAAAAGTGGAAACAACCCAAGTGTCGGTCAACAGATTAATGGAAAATTTTAAATGTGGTCTATCTACACAATAGAATATTACTTGGCCTTTTATGTTCTGATACATTCTTGTTACAACATGGATGAACCTTGAAAACATGCTAGGTGGAAGAAGACAGACATAAATAACCACAGAGTGTAGGATTCCATTTGTATAAAATGTCCACAGTAGATAAATCTATAGGCAGAACATAGATTGGTGGTTGCTTGGGTCTGGTGGGGGGAGGAATGGGGAGTGACTGCTAATGGGTACAGGGAATTTTGGGGAGATGATGACAATATTATAGAATTAGTGGTGATGGTTGCACAATGTGTGAATATACTAAAAATCACTAAATCGTACACTAAAATAGTGCATTTTATGCTACGTGAATTGTATCTCATTAAAGCTATTAAAGACAGAGATGTTGGAGGTCAGGTATGGTGGCTCACACCTGTAATACCAGGACTTTGGGAGGCTGAGGTGGGAGGATCACTTGAGCCCATGAATTCAAGACCAGCCTGGGTAACATAGTGAGACCCCATCTCTACAAAAAAACATGAATATTGGCCAGGCATGGTGGCTTATGCCTGTAATCCCAGCACTTTGGGAGGCCAAGGAGGGTGGATCATGAGGTCAGGAGTTAGAGAAAAGCCTGGCCAATATGGTGAAACCCTGTCTCTACTAAAAATACAAAAATCAGTGGTCATAGTGGCGTGCACCTGTAGTCCCAGCTACTCGGGAGGCTGAGGCAGGAGAATCACTTCAATCCGGAAGGCAGGGGCTGCAGTGAGCTGAGATCGCACCACTGCACTCCAGCATGGGCAATAAAGCAAGACTCCATCTCAAAAAAAAAAAAAAATGTGACGTATGCCTACAGTCCTGTAGTCCCAGCTACTTGGGAGGCTGAGGCAGGAGGATTACTTGAGGCTAGAAAGCCATGATCACACCACTGCATTCCAGCTGGGCAATAGAAAAAGACCCTGTCTCCAAAAATATCAAAGAGGAAGATGTTGGGCACATAACTGTGTCCCATGGCAAGGCCAGTCCTTCCTCAGACATGGCCATGGCTCCTCATTGAGAAACCAGAAATGCAAACTGCCAAAAGAAAGAAGCCAATCTGAGAAAGCTACCTACTGTATGATTCCTATAAGACAATCTGGAAAAGGCAAAACTATAGACACAATAAAAAGATCAGTGGTTGCCAGGGCTCGGGGAGGAAGGAAGGGGCGGATAGGTGGAGGACAGGGGGTTTCAGGGCATGAATCTATTTGCATGATACTGGAATGGTGGGTATATGTCATGATACATTTGTCTAAGCCCATACTAAGCACAACACAAAAAATGACCCTGAGGCCAGGTACAGTGGCTCACGTCTGTAATCCTGTACTTTGGGAGGCCGAGGCAAGCAGATTGCCTGAGGTCAGGAGTTCAAAACCAGCATGGGTATAGTAAGACCCTGTCTTTACTAAAATACAAAAAATTAGCCAGTCGTGGTAGTGCTCACCTATAGTCCCAGCTACTCAGGAGGCTGAGGCACAAGAACTGCTTGAACCCAGGAGGCGTGAGCCGAGATCGCGCCACTGCACTCCAGTCTGGGAGACAGAGCAAGACTCTGTCTCCATTTAAAACAAAAAAAGACACACACACAAAAAGTGATCCCAAATGTACAATACAGACTTAGGTTAATAATAAGATATCAGTAATGGCTCATCAGTACTAACGGATGGACTACGCTCATGCAGGATATGAATATAAGGGGAAACTGGGGGAGGAGGGAGGTGCAGAGGAATATATGGGCACCCTCTGTACGTTCAGCTCAATTTTTCTATAAACCTAAAGCTGCTCAAAAGTAAAATGCAGGCTGGGTGCAGTGGTTCATGTCCGTAATCCCAGCACTTTGGGAGGCCACGGCGGGAGGACTGTTTGAGCCCAGGAGTTAGAGGCTGCAGTGAGGTATGATTGCACCACTGCACTCTAGCCTGGGCAACAAGGTGAGACTTTATCTCTAAAAAATAAGCAGGTAAATAACATCAAACAGCTCAAAACATGAAGTGAAATCAAGTCCCTACACACTACCCATACCATGGCTCTCGGATACCACGGTTCACAGGGCTGTGTATCTTCTGGTGGATATATTTCTACTGATGACCAAGGTCTGGGAAACACACACTCCCTTTTGCATACACTCTTGGTATTTGTTACACATGTGCAATTTCCACATCACAGCCACCCCGTGAATAAGGCAGGGCAGGCCCCGGGATGGGGAAATGGAGGCTGAGGGAAGTAACACAGCTTCCCAGGGGCACACAGCTGCTGCATGGCAGAGCTGAGACCTGAACCGAGTCCCACCTGACCCAAACCTGATGCCCTCTCTGCTTTTCATGCTGGCTTCGGACACCCAGACTCTGCTGCACTGCCCGGCTCACCTGCGGCCCCTGCTCAGTCTTACTGTCAAAGGGGTTCCCGACCACCCGAGACTTGGCCCGGGCAACGCTCCGCTCCACAAACTCATCATAGATGTCCTCTTGCACAAAGGTCCGGGAGCCGGCACAGCAGCACTGGCCCTGGTTGAAGAACAGGGCAAAGTGGGCCTGCTCCACGGCCCAGTCCACTGTGGGAAGCAGGCAGGGGACAGAAAAGTGAGAGTGAGAAGAGGAGGACGACCCTGGCCCTGGTGGCCGTCTGCCCAAAGGAGCCTGTTCCCACCCCTGTCAGGGCTGGTGCCTGCTGGGTGCCAGAGACAGACACAGGGAGAAGAGGGGCGATCTGGGAGCCTACCACCCACCAGGACAAAGGGCCTGATGGTGGCAAGTGGATGAGTCAGACAGCAGGGGCGTGGCTTGGCCTGATGATGCAGAGAGCAGCCAGGGAGAGGCTGGGGCCAGGCCACATGGGCCAGCACTGGCATCTTATCCTAAGGACTGAGAGACAGCAATGCCACTGGGCACTGGGGTGACAGGATTGGGCAGAACCACAGCATAGGTGGCCAGCCTCCCCCAGCCAGAAACTCACTGTCGGCATCTGACATGATGATATTGGGGCTCTTGCCCCCTAGCTCCAGGGTCACTCTCTTGAGGTTGCTATTCCCGGCAGCTACCTGGATTAGGCGGCCAGTCTGTGGGGACACAGAGACAGGAAGGAGCTCTCAGTGTGGGGAGAAAGAGCCCAGCACTCTAGAGACACAGAACAGGGACCCCATGCCTTGAGTGAGCAACTGGACCACAAGAGACCTAGAGAATTTCAACAAATAGACATTCACTTTTTTTGCAGGGGGTAGCAGGGGGCAGGGTCCTACTCTGTCACCCAGGCTGGAGTGCAGTGGCGTGATCTCAGCTCACTGCAGCCTTGACCTCTCAGGCCCTGGCAATACTCCTGCCTCAGCCTTCCGAGTAGGCGGGGCCCAATGCACACGCTACCATGCAGGGCTAATTTTTAACCACAATGGCAGTCCTGGTCAAGGAGTCTGACCTGGCCAGGGTGATTTGATTTGGGGCAGGCGGTCAGCTTTGGGCTATGTGGAGCCTGGCCGGGCCTGGCCTCCTTAATCCACATGGGACACCGGCCCCTCCCAAGGGCAGCTAGTGTAACAACCAGACCACGAAGGGCTCAACCCTGCCCCACCCTTCCTGGTACCTACAGGTTCCTCGCCTGAGCTCTGCAGAGGCAAGTCCTGGAGGAAGAGACCTCCACTTGACACTCAGAAGCTCATCTTGAGTGTGTTGAACACTGAGGACAGGGGGAGCTTGGGCCAAGGAGGTTGCAAGCTTGAGGCCAGGGTCGCCTTACCTCGGTGGAGCCTGTGAATGCCACTTTGTCCACACCCTCATGGGAGGCAACAGCAGCCCCGGCGGTAGGGCCAAATCCAGGAACAATGTTAACCACACCAGGGGGAAAGCCGGCCTGTGAGCAAACAGCCAGGAGACATTGGGAGTCACCCTCCTGTTCAGAAGGGCCGGACCAGGGAAGACACATCCCTTTTCAGAGAGGGTGGGACAGTCTGCCAAGGACACATGAGTACAGAAGCCAGTTTTATGGGGCACCACACGGGAATTCCTAATGAAACAGAGAAGGAGCCAGTTCCCTGGGGTTCCCTGTGTCTTTGCCCCTCCTCTGACAGCATTCACTTAGAACAATAGTGGGTTTTGTTTGTTTTTTGAGATAAAGTCTCTCTCTGGCACCCAGGCTGGAATGCAGTGGTGCAATCATAGCTCACTGCAGCCTCAAACTCCTGGGGTCAAGTGATCCTCCTGCCTCAAACTCCCAAGTAATTGGGACTACAGGTGCATGCCACCACACCCAGCTGATTCTTAATTTTTTGTCGAGATGGGGTCTTGCTATGTTGCCCAGGCTGGTCTCAAACTCCTGGGCTCAAGCGATCCTCCTGCCTTGGCCTCCCAAAGTGTTGGGATTACAGGCGTGAGCCACCAAGCCTGGCCTAGAGCAATATTTTTAATTCTTCAAAGGGGATCTTGCAGTGAAGTCCAATGTGAAAAACAGGTAAGAGGGAGACACTCTGGTTCACATGATGATGCAGGGGCTCCACAAACACCCCTCCCTGTTTAGGGACCCCTGAGACCCTCCTTAGAACTCCCTTAGGACAAGCCTCAACAAGAGCATTTAGAGGTTAAGACCGGGACAAGTCACGCACCTCCTTGATCAGGTTGGCCACATAGAGGGCAGTAAGGGGTGTCTGCTCAGCTACCTTCATCACAACCACATTTCCAGTCGCCAAGGCTGGGCCCAGCTTCCACGCTTGCATCAGGAGTGGAAAATTCCACTGCAACAAAAAACAGCTGTCCTCAAAATCCAAGCTTCCTCAGCTAACTACACCAGGTACCAGAAGGTGGCACACCCAGAGGGCAGAAGCAGCACCGATTCTCTGAACCCTGCATGTCCTCCCCTAACTCCATCCATTGTAGTTTTAAGATGGATGGACGAGGCTGGTGGTACATGAGGATGACAGGGACTCACATTTATTCATGCTTTTGTGTCCTAATTATCACCTCCCTAAGACAGGCACTATGTTCATTTCCACTTTCCAGATGGGGAAACTGATGTTTGGGGGACGAGTAACTTGCCCAAGGTTACAGAATTCACAAGTGGCAGGGCTCAGACTCAAACCGGGTTGGCTTTGTCAGAGTCCATCTTCTTACCCAACCTCAGAACCTCTGTAATGAGCCTGGCAAAGACGGCCAAATCTCAGGGTGCCCTGAGGAACTTCCAGGGAGGCTGGGCTCACCGGAATGATCTGCCCACACACCCCCACAGGTTCATGGCGGGTGTAGCTGAAGAAGTCTCCGTCAATAGGAATGGTTTTCCCGTGGTACTTATCAGCCCAGCCGGCATAATACCTTTGAAAAAAGAAACGTTCAAGCTTATATCAGTGATTGTCAGGGACCCCCTGCAAACCCTGGCAGAAAGAGAAGACTCAAACTGGTCCAGCTGGGTCTTTCTGATAGCTGCCCTTGCTTTTGGCTTATTCCGAGAAAGATAAATGACTGCTAATGTCACGATAATCTACTCTAGGTAGCTAACCCCTAAACCTCAGAATCACCTGGGGTGCTTGTGAAAAACACCAGATGCCAGGAGTTCACTTCCAGTCCACTCAATCCCACTCTCTGGGGCTCATGCCCAGGGATTAAAATTTTTTTCTTTCTTTTTTTTTTTATGAAACAGGGTATTGGCGGGCGTGGTGGCTCATGCCTTTAATCCCAGCACTTTGGGAGGCCAAGGTGGGCAGATCACGAGATCAGGAGTTCGAGACCAGTCTGGCCAAGATGGTGAAACTCTCCCCCTACTAAAAATGCAAAAATTAGCCGGGCATGGTGGTGTGTGCCTGTAGTCCCAGCTACTCTGAAGGCTGAGGCAGAAGAATCTCTTGAACCTGGGAGGCAGAGGTTGCAGTGAGCAGAGATCTCACCACTGCACTCCAGTCCAGCCTGGGTGACAGAGCAAGACTCCATCTCAAAAAAAAAAAAGAAAAGAAACAGGGTCTTGCTGAGTTGCCCAGGCTGGAGTGCAGTGGCACAATCATAACTCACTGCAGCCTTGACCTCCTGGGCTCAAATGATCCTCCCACCTTAGCCTTCTCAGTAGCTGAGACTACAGGCACACGTCACCATGCCTGGCTAATGTTTTTAAATTTTTTGTAGAGATGGGAGTCTCCTTATGTTGCTTAGGCTGCTCTCAAACTCTTGGGCTCAAGCGGTCCTCTTGCCTTGACCTCCCAAAGTCCTGGGATTACAGGCATGGGCTATTAGCATCTGGCTAGTGACCTAGGTTTGAACACGCGTTTGTGACCCTGGAAGAAAGCTAGCCAGGGGGTTGCCAATCTATGCAAGTCCAGGCACTGCAGTTTCCCTATCCCAGATCTATACAAACAGAGTCTACATGACATGTGTTTTACAAGCCCCAGAACAGTTATTTCATCAGCACAAAAGCAGAATGCCAAAATTCAGGCAGGCGTATGTTTCCAACTGAGATGTACCAGGCTGCCCTCTCTGGGGTGTCCTTGCAGAAGAGTTTCTCAGCTTGGCATTGCTGACATTTGGGGCTGGAGAATTTTTTGTTGTGGAACTGTCCTGGGCACCGTATGATATTGAGTGACATCTCTGACCTCTACCCACTAGATGCCAGTAGCACCCTTCCGTCTCAGTCAAGGCTGCCAAAAACGTCTCTGGACATTGCCCAGTGTCCCCTGGGAGGCGTGATTGCCCCGAATGTGTGTCCCTGTTGTGAAGGATACCGACTGCTTTCTTGTCCAGCCTTTACTCTTCTGGGACTGCTTCCTCCCCACCACCTCTGTTTACATGTCATAGGGAGACAAGCCATTATGTACATAAATGATCTATCCACCCCTGGCCACAGCTGGCCAGGCTCAAGGCCAGCTACTCAGGGTCCTCCCCCAGGAATACGGCATTACAACTAAAAGATGACAGCTTAGCCTGGCTGTAATCAGGCATGGAGATGCAAACCCAGGTGGTGTGGGCTGCCAAGTCTCAACATAAAAACTGACCCTCAAAGCCAGTGTAGCTGAGGAGAATGAAGCAAGCAGGGAGGTGAGTGAGACTCAATGGCCTTTTACATTAGAGACCCCTGGACTCTATTGTCTAAGTTGAGCTCAGTGAATTTATTTATTTATTTATTTTTTTGAGATGGATTCTTGCTCTGTCACCCAGACTGGAGTGCAATGGCATGATCTTGGTTCAATGCAACCTCTGCTTCCTAGGTTCAAGCAGTTCTCGTGCCTCAGCCTCCCAAGTAGCTAGGATTACAGGCACGCGCCACAACTGCCTGGTTAATTGTTGCATTTTTAATAGAGATGGGGTTTCACCATGTTGGGCAGACTGGTCTTGGACCCCTGACCTCAAATGATCCACCCGCCTCAGCCTCCCAAACTGCTGGGATTATAAGTGTGAGCCACTGTGCCCAGCCTCAGTGAATTTCTGGCAGCTGCAACATAAAGGCTCTAACAAAGCTCTTGGTCATTGAAATGTCCATGATTGCTGAGCATGGTGACTCATGCCTGTAATCCCAGCACTTTGGGAGACCAAGGTGGGAGGACTGCTTAAGCCCAAGAGTCCAAAACTAGCCTGGGCAACATAGCAAGACCCTCCATCTCTATAAAAAATTTAAAAAGTAACCAGGCATGGTAGTGTGTGCCTGTGGTCTCAGCTACTCAGGACACTGAGGTGGGAGGACTGCTTGAGCCCAGGAGTTCAAGGCTGCAGTGAACTATGATTTTACCACTGCACTCTAGCCTGGGAAACAGAGTGAGACCCTACCTCAAAAAAAAAATTTTTAATATCAATCAATCAATAAAACACTTACGATTAAACTAAAGCCAGAGCTAGTAAAAGGAAGGAAATAATAAAGACTGAAACAGACATAGATGAAAGAGAATACTTCTTGAATAGACAGACAATAAAATCAACAAAACCAAAAGTTTGGTTCTTTGAAAACATTCACGAGGCTAGGCGTGGTGGCCCATGCCTGTAATCCCAGCATTCTGGGAGGCCGAGGCGGGGGGATCACAAGGTCAAGAGATCAAGACCATCCTGGCCGAAATGGTGAAACCTTGTCTCTACTAAAAAACATAAAAATTAGCTGGGCGTGGAGGTGTGTGCCTGTAGTCCCAGCTACTTGGGAAGCTGAGGCAGGAAAATCGCTTGAACCTGGGAGGCGGAGGTTGCAGTGTGCCAGGATCGTGCCACTGCACTCCAGCCTGGCAACAGAGCGAGACTCTGTCTCAAAAAACAAAACAAAACATTCACAAAATGGACAAACCCTTTAGCTAGACTAAGAAACATACAGAAAAACCAAATAACTAAAAATGGTGGAGACATCACTACAGATGTTACAGAGATAAAAAGGATTACAAGAGAACACTGCGAACAATCATACACCAACAAATTAGATAACCTTGATAAAATGGACACGTTCCAAGTAACACAGAAAGTACCAAAAGTGACTCAAGAAGAAAGAGAAAACATTTATGACTAAGCCACAATTTGTGATATTGAGGGATTTTCCCATGAGCTAGAGTCTAAATGGAGTAGGTTTCTCCAACTCCTGTGATCCTTTTGAATTTTTGTAATTTTTGTTTGTTTGTGTTTGTTTGTTTTGAGACAGAGTCTCGCTCTGTTGCCTAGGCTGGAGTGCAGTGGCATGATCTTGGCTCACTGCAACCTCCGTATCACAGGCGTGAGCCACTGTACCCAGCTAATTTCTGTATTTTTAGTAGAGACAGGGTTTCACCATGTTGGCCAGACTGGTCTCAAACTCTTGACCTCTTTTTTTTAAACACTGAGCATCTGCTTAATAGTAAACTCTTGACCTCTTGACGTAATCTGCCTGGCTCAGCCTCCCAAAGTACTGGGATTATAGACATAAGATAACGTACCACCCCCTTTTGAATTTTTGTGATTTAATTTTTACCTCCTAACAACATTACCTGCCCTTTTCCAGCCAGAACAAAGAACAGGAAAGCGGAGCCCGTACCTGAGACATTTGAGGACCATGTCCAAATCCACCAGGTAGGAGATCACATAGGGCTTGCCATTGTCCAGGGTCTCCAAGGCCTGAGAAAAGAACAAGGTCAGTAGAGACATGGGTGCAGGAATGAGAGAAAAATAAGGCTAATAGAGGGTGGCAAGGCTGGGACTGAGAAGGGCTGGTGCAAGCCCAGGGTAAGAGTCCCCTTTGTGCCACCAAATGTCACTGGCATTTCTAGACTATTGCCATGGTCTCTCCAAAGGCAGGGAGGAGGAGGAAGGGGGCCAGGCAGGATGAGGCACCAACTTCTCACTCAGTCATTTCACAAACACACTCTTTTAGCATCTGCTCTCTGCCAGATCCAGGTGCTGGACAGAGACCAGAGTGGAGCTTACAGAGCAAAGACCATGCACAATAACACAAGTCCTCAGTCACACATGTTAAGAGTGCTAGAGGCTGAGCACAGTGAATCACACCTACAACCCTAGCATTTTGGGAGACCGAAGCAGGTGGGTCACTTGAGGTCAGGTGTTCGAGACCAGCCTGGCCAACATGGTGAAACCCCGACTCTACTGAAAATACAAAATTAGCTGGGCATGGTGGTACACACCTGTAACCCCAGCTATTGGGGAGGCTGAGGCAGGCGAACTGCTTGAATGGGGAGGAGAGGTTGCAGTGAGCCAAGATCGTGCCACTACACTCCAGCTTGGGTGAGGAGTGAGACTCCATCTCAAAAAAAAAAAAAAGAATGCTAGTGCAGGGAGTCAGGCTACCCAGCCCTGTCTAGAAATATTAGCCAGAGATGAACCCTTTAGGCCAGAACCTGAAGGATATGTAGGGGGAAACCGGGCAAAGGGGATGGTACGGATGGTGATGGGCAAAGAGCATCCCAGGCAGGTGCAAGCCCTGATGCTCAAAGAGGCTTGGCAGTCAAGCATGTGAGCACAAGCTCAGGAGCACATGTGAATGTGAGGGCCGTAGTCCAGCATGGCTCAGACAATGGAACCAGAACAGGCTGGGTTTTTTGTGTTTTTTTTGAGACAGGATCTCACTCTGTCACCCAAGCTGGAGTACAGTGGCACCATCACAGCTCACTGCAGCCTTGAACTCCTGGGCTCAAGCAATCCTCCTACCTCAGCCTCCCAATTAGCTACGACTACAGGCATGTACCACCACACCCAGCTAGTTTTTTAACTTTTTGTAGAGATGAGGTCTCTCCATGTTGCAGGCTGGGTCTTACAGACCATGCTGAGGATTTCATCCTAAGGATACCACATGCCATGCAGGGCGTAAGAGCGGAGTGCCATGGTATAATCTGCCTTCTGGAAGGTTCACTCTGATTGCTGTGTGCAGAACTGATTGGGGCTGGAAGGAGATTGCCTCCTGGTTTCTTCTCCTCTTGCAGCCAGGGGGAAGGCCTGCCATGGAGGGGCCCTGGGAGAGGTGTCCATTCCCAGGAGTCTCTCTCCCTGACACAGCTACTCTCGCCTCCTCCAGATTCTTCTTGCTTAGCCAAATCTGCCACATCAAAGGAGACACTGAGGATGGTCGCAGTGGCTCATGCCTGTAATCCCAGCACTTTGGGAGGCCAAGGTGGGCTGATCATTTGAGGTCAGGAGTTCAAGACCAGCCTGACCAACATGATGAAACCCCATCTCTACTAAAAATACAAAAAAGTTAGCTGGGAGTGGTGGTGCATGCCTGTAGTCCCAACTATTTGGGAGGCTGAGGCAGGGGAATTACTTGAACCCAGGAGGCGGAGGTTGCAGTGAGCCAAGGTCATGCCACTGCACTCTAGGCTGGGCAACAGAACGAGACTCTGTCTCAAAAACAAAACAAAAAAACCAAAAACAAAACAAAGGAGATAGTGAAAGGTTCCTCTGGTTAGTACAGAGGTGCCCCCCAAAGGTGTCCAGCCTATGCCATTCCCATCAGGCCCATGTCAGCAGTGTGGCCCCTGGCTGTTCATAGGATGCTGCAGGCCCATTTGTCATGTGGGATCTGATGGGGAGAAGGGCTGAGGACTCACTGCCAGGTAGGTCCGGTCCCGCTCGATCAGATCAGCCAGGCGGTTCAGCAGTCGGCCCCTGTGTGATGCATCCATGCGGCGCCATGGTGAGCCTAGCTGGAAGGCCGCCTGGGCAGCCTTCACTGCCTTGTCCACATCTTCCTGGAAAACACAGGAAAACTCAAGCCTTCCTGGAAAACTCAGGCCTTCTCAGCAATAACCGACTCCGAATGCAAACACATCCAGAGGGCTGTCAGCACATCGCTGCACGGAAAACCTGCCCGTAACTAGTGCTCCTAGCCCAGCAGAGCCCTGTCTGATGAGCACCAGATTTTGGCAAGGGTCTGAATAACATGACCCTCCCCTCCTTTCCTGAAGTCCTGATGGGAATAAGAATCTGGACAATTTCTTTTTTTTTTTTTTTTTTTTTGGACCCTGGCTGGGCCAGGTGCAGGACCAAGACCCCACAGCTCCAGCCCGGGCCTGCGAAGCCCTGTATTTTTATTTTAAAATTTATTTATTTGTTTATTTAGAGATGGTTTCTCACTCTGTTGCCCAGGCTGGTCTCAAATTCCGGGGCTCAAGTGATCTTCCCACCTCAGCCTCCCAAAGTGCTGGGATTACAGGCCTGAGCCACCGCACCCAGCCATTTATTTATTTATTTTAGAGATGGGGTCTCACTATGTTGCCTGGGCTGGTTTCTAACTCCTGGGCTCAAGCAATCCTCCTTCCTGAGCCTCCCAGAGTGCTGGGATTATAGGCGTGAACCACTGCTCCTGGCCAAAAACACAAAATACTTTTATTAAGAGTGTAATTTAAGTCCAGGCTCTGTGGCTCACGCTTGTAATTCCAGCACTCTGGGAGGCCGAGGCGGGCTGATCATGAGGTTAGGAGACCATCCTGGCCAACATGGTGAAATCCCGTCTTTACTAAAAATTAAAAAAAAATTACCTGGGTGTGGTGGTAGATGCCTATAGTCCCAGCTTTTCAGGAGCCTGAGGCAGGAGAATTACTAGAACCCAGGAGGCAGAGACTGCAGTGAGCCAAGATCATGCCACTGCACTACAGCCTGGGTGACAGTGCAAGACTCCGTTTCAAAAAAAAAAAAAGAGTGTTAACTGAAAAATTTTAAACATATTATTATCAGCTTTGATTGGTTCCTACAGCCTATACAATTCAAACCTCCACAGGAGCTAGTTCTTAGGATATCCACATTCTACCCAACAAGGTTTCCATCTAGCAGTACCTCTCCCTTCTCTGACCTTCAACTTCCAGGTCTGGAAAGGAGATACTGTATTAGATATTTGACGAATTCACTTCCAAGTCTATAGTTCTATACTAAGTGAATTAACACCGTTGTCTGCAGTGAAATTTCTGTTGGTTAATTTCCTCGGAATTTTTCATGTATCTTTAGTTGTAAAAGTAATACACATACATGGTGAAGCTTTCACCACATAAAAACATACAAAATAGAAAACTAATCCATCCCTGCCCCGAGGTAAGTCACCAGTTCTCACCTTGTCCCCTTCAGCTACCTGACAGATGACCTCTCCAGTGGACGGATTGACCGTGGGGAATGTTTTCCTGCTGACGGCATCATGCCATTCATTGTTTATGAAGATCTACAGTGAGAAGGAAAGAAGTTCTCAGGACCAGCTCTCAACCTAATACTGACTACCAGTATTGTAAGAAAAAAAAACCACACACAAGGAAAAGCAAATATGAATTAATTTCAGAGTGGTATAGCCTAGAAATGAAAAGCACAGGCCTTGCAGACAATCTAGGCTGAAATGCCCACTCCACCAAGTGACCTTGGGTAAGTCATTTGACTTTTCAGTGCCTTGGTTTCCTTGAAAAATGAAGAGGATGTTCCTACTTGTTTTAGTTATCCACTGCTGTGTAACAAAGCACCCTAAAACTTGGTGGCTTAAATTGATTTATTATGCCCAGATGATGGTTGGGCTTATCTGGGCAGAGTTCCCTCGTATGGCTGCAGTATGAGGGGCAGCTGGGGTCACAGTCACCCAACTCTGAGGCTGAATGTGCAAGATGGCATCTGCACTCACTTGCCTAGCACCACGTGGCTGGTTGGGGTTCCTGACTGCATGGGTGACTCAAGCTAGTCCGAATTTCAACATGGCAGCTGGCTTCTCCTAAGACAGTATTCCTAGAAACCCAGGTGGAAGCTGAAAGGCTTCCTAAGATGTAGCTTCAGAAGTCACCTGGCTTCATTTCTGCCACCAAATTCTGTTGGTCAAAGTGAGTCACAGGCCCAGTCCAGAGTCCCAGGTTGAGGAGAGATCCTCCCCTTCTTCCTAAGAGGAATGACAAAGAATTTGCAACCACCATCATTCTATTCCACTCCCACACAAATTTGTTGTTGAGAGCTAAATTAGATTTATTTTTATTTTTATTATTTTTTGAGACAGGGTCTTGCTCTGTCACCCAGACTGGAGTGCAGTGGTGCAATCACAGCTCCCTGTAGCCTCTTCCACCTGAGCTCAAGCGATCTTTCCACCTCAGCCTCCCAGTAGCTGGGACCACAGGCATACACCACTACACCTGGCTAATTTTTGTATTTCTTGTAGAGATGAGGTCCCTCTATGTTGACCAGGCTGGACGGGAACTCCTGGACTCAAGAGATCCTCCCCCCTCAGACTCCCAAGGTGCTGAGATTATAGGTGTGAGCCACCATGCCCAGCCTTAGATTATTATTTCATTCACTCAGCAAATGCTTAACAAACACCTGCAATGGGCCACACATAGTTCAAGGACTGAGAACACAACAGAGCCAAAAGCCAACAAAGACCGTGCTCTCATGGTGCCCATAAAATAAAGAGGCAATCAAATACAGAATATCACCTCAGACTGTACAGATGAGGGCGAAGGGAAGAACAGGATCCAGAGAAGGTGCCTAAGGTGAGGGGTAGAGGTGGTGGCAGCAGCAGGCCGCCCTGAGGAGCAGACATTTGACTGAGTCCTGAATGATGAAAAGGAAGGGTCCACAGGAAGAGCTGGAGGACCAGCAGTCCAGGGTGTGGAAAAGCAAGTGCAAAGGCCCCAGGGCAGGAATACATCTGGTGGATCTGAGAAAAAGCAAAGGTGCCAGAGTGACTGGTGAACCAAGAAGGAAGTGATAAAAAATGGCGTCAGGGAGTGCGGGTCCCAAGACATCCTTAGTTCCTCTGGCTTGTAATTTAGACCAGGCTGTCACCCAGCCAAGCCACATTTGGGGGAAGACTTCCTTCCTCATGAGGCAAATACAGGGAATGAAAGCCTCTCCATTCGCTCAGAGGAAAGGTCCTTACCTATTACCTAAAGTCACCTATTAAAGTACCAGAATTGGCTGGGTGCAGTGGATCACACCTGTAATCCCAGCACTTTGGGAGGCCAAGGCAGGCAGATCACGAGGTCAAGAGATCAAGGCCATCCTGGCCAACATGGTGAAACACCGTCTCTACTAAAAATACAAAAAAATTAGCTGAGCGTGGTGGTGCATGCCTGTAGTTCCAGCTACTCAGGGAGGCTGAGGCAGGAGAATCACTTGAACCAGAAGCCAGAGGTTGCAGTGAGCTGAGATCACACCACTGAACTCCAGTCAGGGTGACAGAGCGAGACTCCATCTCAAAAAAAAATAAAAGTGCGTTGTTTCCATCTTGCTCTCCAGGCACCAGGCGAAGGTCTTGGGAAGGCAGAGAAGACATCTCCCAGCAAGCTGATCCCTTCGGGCTTGGTAAACCAGTTTCCCGGCAGGGTCCATGGTCACCTCACCAGTGCTGGGGCAAAGGCCAAAGATGACATGAGGCAAAAACATCTGCCTCTTTGCCTGCCTTCCTTGGGGATCTCTCTCGCCCCCAGCATCCCTGCATGGCCTCGCCCTGGCCTAGAACTCCAGTGAGACATTTGTGGTCACTCTGGGCCAGAGTCTCTCACCATAAACAACACGGAGCTGCCAAGCAAAGCCTGGAGTGAGGCTCACATCAGGACTGGGGAGGGGTGGCCAGGCTCACCAGTCAAAAGTAGACATTCAGCCCAGCACGATGGCTCATGCCTGTAGTCCCAGAACTTTGGGAGGCCAAGGTGTAAGGATCGCTTGAGCTCAGGAATTTGAGACCAACCTGGGTAACATAGTGAGACCCCATCTCCACAAAAAAAGTGAAATATTAGCCAGGTGTGGTAGTGCACGCCTGCAGTCCCTCCCAGTACTCAGGAGACTGAGATGGGAGGATTGCTTGACTGCGGCTGGGAGGTTGAAGCTGTCAGTTAGCCATGATCACACCACTGCCTCCAGCCTGGGCAACAGAGCAAGACCCTGTCTCAAAAAAGAAAAAAAAAAAAGGAAGCAAAGGTTCAAAACAAGAATCTGGGTGGGCTGGGTGCAGTGGCTCATGCCTATAATCCTAACACTTTGGGAGGACAAGGCAGGAGGACTGCCTGGGCTCAGGAGTTGGAGACCAACCTGGGTAATATAGTGAGACCCTGTCTCTACAAAAAATGAAAAATTAGCTAGGTGTGGTTGTGTGTCCACAGTCCCAGCTACTCAGGAGGCTGAGGTGGGAGGACCACTTGAGCTGGGAGGTTGAGGCTGCAGTGAGCCATGATTGCACGACTGCACTCCAGCCTGGGTGACAAAACAAGACTCTTAAAAAAAAAAGAAGAATCTGGATGAATATGGGCTCTTCTGCTCCTGATTTTGTCACGTGGGACAAGGCTCTCACCCCCTCACCCCTGTGTCTTTGTTTCCTCATATGTAGGGTAAGAATCACTCTAGAGCCCCCTTTATAAAACCATGTGAGGGTCTGAGGTCTCTGTGCCAAGCATGGAGCGAATGCCCAATGCCGTGATGATGGTGGGGTGGTGACGGAGTGCCCCAGGAAGGAATCGCTCAGGTAAGGGCCTAGCAGGAGTCACGTTCCCAGGCTGTTCCGCATAATCTCTGTGGTGGAATCCGCAGCTGTGCACCCACAAGAAAGGCGTTTGGCCTCGGAGAAGAACGTGTGTAAACATTAACCAAGGTTTTGGAGGCATACTTGTGTGGTTTCATATTAGTTGATCAATCATTACTCTTTACGGAAATGGCATCCTTTTTTCTTCCCACAGGAGGGTTGGGTTATTTCCAGTGTGGGGACAGATGTCTCCAGCATAAGGAGCTGGAGACGTGGCAAAGCCAGGAGATGCCTAGACCTAAGTTCAAGTTGGACTATGCTGTGTCTGGGCAGTGGGCCCTGGGTGTTTGCTCCCCAACTCTTGAGTGTCGGCTCCTCCTCCAGGTGCCTGTGGAGGAGAGGGGAACTCCCAGGGCTGCCTGCTAGAAGATGGGGTCTCACAGGCATGCAGGGCGGGCAGGCAGCCTGCAGTCGTTAGGTAAGTGTCCTTCTCTCCTTCCCCTTGCAGCACAGGCTCAGGGTTCATACCTCACACACAACTGCCTCACAGCAAAGCACTTGGGTCAGCAGGGTTAGGAAGGTACAGAGAAGCGCCAGGCTGGGCTGGGCGGAAGTAGATTTGGTTGCCCTTGTGCTTTCCCCCAGCTTCTCTTTCCTCCTCCAGCTAGGGGGGAAGTCCACTCAGCCCCATGTGTCATGGATACTGCCAACATTTACTAGCTACCCCTCAAGCAGCAGCCCTGCACCAGGGTTTCGATATACTTGGATTGTTCCCATTTAAACATCATAGCAAGCCTAGGAAGTGAACTTCATCCTCTCCACTTCACAGCAGAGGACGCTGGGCACAGAAGAGATCCAGCCACTTGGCTCTAGGTCACACAGCAGCAAGGCAGAGCCAGGATTTGAAGCCAGGTCTTTGGGACTCTAAGGCCTCTGCCCTTTGCTCGGTTCTTCCAACTCCAACCTCCAGCCATAGCCCAGGTCTGCCTTCAAGGAGGCTGGAATTCTTGATTCCCGAATCTCCATCTTTATGGTTTACTTGTTGCCCCAACACAGGTTGATTTCAAATTTTGATACTGAGCCAAACACAGTGGCTCATCCCTGTAATCCCAGTACTTTGGGAGGCCGAGGCAGGTAGATCATGAGGTCAGGAGTTCAAGACCAGCCTGGCCAAGATGGCGAAACCCTTGTCTCTACTAAAAATACAAAAATTAGCCAGGTGTGGTGGCATGTGCCTGTAATCCCAGTTACTTTAGAGGCTGAGGCAGAGAATTGCTTGAACCCAGGAGGCGAAGGTTGCAGTGAGCCAAGATCACGCCACTGCACTCCAGCCTGGGTGACAGAGTGAGACTCCATCTCAAAAAAAAAAAAAGATTTTCCATCAAAATATTCAAATTCCTAAATACTTTAATAAATACGCCTCACTTTGTTTTGTAAAAGTTGGATTCATTCACCCACGCATTCCATTAGCTTTCACTGACAGCCCTGGCCACTCCAGCACTGAGTCCAATAGCCAAGTCCTGGCTCCTGGAAGCTGAAGTTCTGATGAGGAGAGGGCATGGTTAACAAGCAAAACCAAGCAAGTAAGAAGTGGAAAGAGGATTGGCCAGCTGAGGGGTCAGATGGCGCCATTAAGCAGGGACAGGAAGGGTGACTGCTAGGAAGAGCCTGGGGAAAGGAGGAAGTGAATGAGCTGATGTGGCTGCAGAGTGTGGGTGAGGGGAGAGCGGGATTCT